TTCCTAATATCTTTGGTAATGGCTGTGTGCATTATTCATGGCCAAGGCGTATTATGTGCTATGATTATAATTTCCCATACTTCCTTCATCAATACTGTGTTAACTAGAGCTGTTGTCCACATGTCTTCCTGGCCCTTTATTTTCTCCTACTAGTACTTGGCTTTTGCCGTATCTACAGCAAAGTCTTTAGATGTTCTCCAAAACCAGAGAAAAATCTCTTTGCCCAATTTTACACTCTCAGATTATTCCTTAATTTCAGCATTTCTTTTGTCTCTTCCTGGTACTCCAGGTAGATTAACATTTCTTAAGATACAACTGTGGTCTGGAACCCTCTCAGGATCTCCTTTCCTGCATAAGATTTTTGGTTTCTTGGTTGGTGTGTTTTCTAACTCAGTTGACTCCTGGTAGGTTTATTCTGGTAAAACGCGCCTCCAGGGCTAAAACAGAGTACATGAGATGTCCAGGCTGGCTTTATATTATAATAAAATGTGTTTGTATTCTTTCATTGTATCCACAGTTTCGATAGATACAGAGTTTTAGCTGGGTGTGTTATCCTTGAAAAAGTGGTTCCAACCCTAATGGAGCCCTAGCCTTTGAAGCATGGTAGCAGGTGAACTTTAAGCTAGGGAGGCTCTTCCCATTGGCGGTTAGTATTTAAACTGGCAGAAGTTTTAGCATCTTTCTATTTTCCATTATTCTAACATTTTATAATAATATGTCTTGGCTTCAGCTGATTTTTGCTTGCTGCACTGGGCGGTCAGTGGTCCTCTCAGTCCTGGAAACACATCCTTGGGTGACATGTGTTCTTCAGCTCTGATGTGTAGTTGCTTTTCTTTTTTTCCCTCTGGTTTTTTGAAACAGGGTTTCTCTGTGTAGCCCTGGCTGTCCTGGAACTCACTCTGTAGACCAGGCTGGCCTCGAACTCAGAAATCTGCCTGCCTCTGCCTTCAAAGTGCTGGGATTAAAGGCGTGTGCCATCACTGCCTGGCTTTTTTTTTTCCCCCCCCGCCTGTTTTTTTTGTTTTTTTTTTTTTTTTGCTGCTTTTCTCTCTAGACTTTCTGACTAGACATTCCAGAGCGAGTTGCTGGATGGATCCCAGACCTTGTTTTCCCAGGCTGGTTGTTCTGCTTTCGATTCCCACATTCTTCACTTTTCCGAGGCATTCTATTTTTCTTTTGCAGATGTACAGGTTGTATTTTGCTAACTTGACACAGTTCTAGACATTTCTGAAAAGAGAGAACCCCAGTTGAAAAAATGCCTCCACATTGGCCTGTGGACAAGCCTGTGATACTGTTGTCTTCACTGATGAAGGGTCCAGCTCAGTGCAGTCAGTGCCACTCCTGAGCAGGTGTTTCTGGGTGCTATGAGAAAGCAGAGTAAGCAAGCCACAGAGAGCAAGCCAGTAAGCAGCATCCCTCCATGGCCTCTGCTTCAGGAACCCTTGAGAGTTCCTGCCCTGGGTTTCCACAGTGATGGACTTCCAAGTTCTAAAATGAAATAAGCTTTTTCCTCCCCATGCTGCACTGGGTCAACAGTACTTTATCATAGCAATAGAAACCCTAACTAAGGCAGTAGATGTGATAGATTAAAAAAAAAAACCTATGTGTGGATATTTTCAAAATAAGCTAAACCTATACTCCATTATCTTTCTTAGTTTTCGGTTGGATGAGTCAGTCATGAAGAGCTATGTAAACAAAGACATTGCTGCAAAGGTCATGTTGTTAGCAACAGTGAGGAAACTCCCAGGTGCTGTCACTATATTTCCTAGATCCACCCATAGAACATGTGAGTTGTTTGGAAGATAGGGAGAAGGTTACCCCTCCTTCTGGAAGTCAGCAGATAGTGAAGCCACTTTAAAATGGAAAATAGGTACTACTTAATAGGCAGGCTGAAATGGTTTCCACATGTCTGGTCAACTCTTCCCAAAGCAGAGTCAACTGTTCAACCTCCCCAATCTGAAGCACGTTTCCTACCAGCACTCTGTCATCTTCCACATCAGCAACTAAGATTAGCAATTAAGTCAGTTCCCGCTTCTGTCCTGTCCTCTCTCCCCATCTCTTCCCCACTCTTTGGCTTGTTATATTCCTCAGACTGTCTTCCAATTCATGATCTTCCTCCAACCGGTGTCAAGTGCTGGGACAACATATATGTGTCATCCACCTGCTACTTGAAATTTTCTAGTGTCCTGAGAATGCAGAAGAATTACTATAACAAGATGCACTGGGTTCTTCAGATGTGCTTGATTTCCTTCCGTTTCCTCTTCCCCTTCCTCCTTCTCTTCCCTCCCTCCCTCCTCCCTCCTTCCTTCCCTGCAGTGTCTTTCTATGTAACTATGGCTGGACTGGAATTTGATATGTATACCAGGCTGTTCTGAACTCACAGATCTATCACTACCTCCCAAGGTCCGGACTTGAGGGTGTCGCAAGCATGCCTTTCCCTTGAACTCAGGTTCCTCATTCAGCATTATTATCCTTATGGCATGATAGGAAGAGCCAAGGGATGGAAGTCACTGCGCAGCCTTCCAGTCACATCAATACCTCGGATAACGAAATAAGGCATCTTCAGTGTCATGTGTACTCAGGCAGTGACAACAATACACCTTTGACTACAATAGTGATAGCAGTTCACAGCAAGGTGGCAGGGACTAGTGTGTACTCTTATATGTAGTTTCAACTCCTAAGTCTATAGTTACTCTCTGTCAATTGTGGTCTGAAAAAAGAAAAGTGGAAAATCTTAGAGAAAACGAAGTCACACATTACAATGACATGGCACACTCTGAATACTGGGGTGAAGATTAACACTGATCCGCCTCTGCCCTGTTTGTGAATCACCTCTTCTTGTAGAGCATCCATGCACTACACTAGCTGCCCACTACTCCCTTAGTGTCTTAGTTTATCTTACTTACTACCTTAGTACTGTAGAACTAGCATCCGATGACCCCTGGGAGGAAGCCCAGTGTCCCCAATGCCAACCTCACATGAGTCTGTTGTTTCATCGATTATCCCCGTTTTATATTTGCCTGCATACGGTTCAGTATTTATTTTATCCACAGTTGCAGGCATTTTGTCGGTCTTGGGACGTGAGACTATTGCCTCTTCCGATTCATAATGTTGGAGCAGGACTGACCTAAGGAAATGCATTTTCAAGCAGCCATGTATGAATGCATAGATCTTGACTCACTATCACTTGCTTTATCTCTACAAAAAGTCTGTCTTAACCAGGCCTCCGAGGACAGTCAGGTTGGCTTCCCCTTTGCCCACTGTGATGAAGAGACAATGGCTTTTGATGCTTTTAACACTTAGAGATAAATCAAGGCTATCACTTCTGATGCAGATCTCTGCTGCCCTCCGGTCAGTCCCCTAAGGTAGCCCATCATTTCTGCTACATTTGTGCTATTTGTGGGGAACGAGAATTTCCCTGTAGTGTGTATGTGATTTCAGGGCAAAATTGGGTTTGAGCAAAAGCTTAACTGTGCCTAGTTACATAGGGGAAACCTCGAGTTTTTTCAAGAGGAGGAAAGATGTGGGTCTGAGAGGAACTTGTTCTTTCTTTTTTTTTTTTTTTTTTAGATTTATTTATTTATTATATGTAAGTACACTGCAGCTGTCTTCAGACACCCATATGAGGGCATCAGATCTCATTGTAGATGGTTGTGAGCTACCATGTGGTTGCTGGGATTTGAACTCATGACCTCTAGAAGAGTAGTCAGTGCTCTTAACCGCTGAGCCATCTCACCAGCCCGAACTTGTTCTTTCTTAATTTGGGAAGTTTGATATCTAACAGGCTTTGATTTTATCAGTGTCCTGAACCCAGACTGCCCAGTTCCCGCTGAAACATACATACCCTTCTCCTAAAGTGACCCCAAAACACAGACGGGAAACAAAAAGTTTTGTGTGACATCCTGACATTAAATAACTATGCTGTTTAAAAGATAATTTCTTTTTTTCTTTTTTCTTTTTTTTTTTTTTGTTTGGTTTTTTCGAGACAGGGTTTCTCTGTGTAGCCCTGGCTGTCCTGGAACTCACTCTGTAGACCAGGCTGGCCTCGAACTCAGAAATCCACCTGCCTCTGCCTTCCAAGTGCTGGGATTAAAGGCGTGTGCCACCACCGCCGGGCTAAAAGATAACTTCTAAATTATTTGCTTACTTTTTTTTTTTAAGGCAGAATCTCATGCAGCTTAGGCTGGCCTCGAAATTCATAAGAAGCCAAGGATAGACTTAAACTCTTATTCCTCCAGGCTCAGCCTCCCAAGTGCTGCTATTACAGGGATGTGTCACCATGGTAGTCTTTTAAATTTTAGTTTTATGTAAGACAGCATCTGTGTTTGCAGCCCTGGGAGTCCTGGAACACTCTATATAGCCGACCCTGGCCTTGAACTCACAGAAACCTGCTTGTCTCTTCCTCTGAGTGCTGGGGCACTATGAAGTCTGTCTTAAAATTAGATATTTGTCTGTGGATTAATCATACATTTATTGGTGTCCACTCGAGGCCAGCTTTGCATTCAGGCTGAGCGCCCCTGCGGTAGTGGCAGATGCTTCTCCCCTGCCTTCATTGGCTTACTGTCAGTGGTGGTGGTGAAGTGACTTCCCTTCTCATGGACAGTGAGCACAGTGGCTTCAGACTGCATTGCACTGTCTCTCCGGTACCTGACAGGTAGTGTAGTGCTTGACAGTGTGGAACACCTCCCTCTTAGCCTTAACCCTAGCGTCAGCTGTGTTTAAGATGCCAGTGCCTGAGCCTACATCCAGCTGCGTTTGTTAGTGTCAACTGGGGTGGAGGAAGACTGCCAGTCGGCCGTCGGAGTTGCAGTCTGCCTGCTTTCTGCGCGGTCCGAGGCTCTGTCTTCCGGCAGGCGAAGCCAGGGGATTCAGAGAATCGTTCCTCAGCCTCTAGGTGCCGCGCCTGTCACCCCGCGAGGCGCAGACCCGCGTGGGCTACGGTCAAGGCCGGCCCGGGCCCCGCCCCTCGGGGCGGCTCTGCGCATGCTCGGCGGTGCGGCCGGCAGCGCGGGCGGCGGCGACCTGGAGACCCCCGAGGGATGGAAGCGCCGGCGCCGGCGGAGGCGGCGGGATGCGAGGAGCTCGGTGGGTGTCTGTCCTGCCCGACCTGGACCCAGGGCGTGGGCGTCTCCTGCGTTCGCAACGAGGGCGCGCGGGCCTTCGCGTCTGCCGCGGCGGCATCCGGGCTCCCGGTGTCTCGCGCGCCTGGCGGGGGCGTCCCTGCGCGCGCACTGAGCACTAGGGTGGCGGGATGGCGGGGTGGCATGGCGGGGTGGGGTGACGGGGTGACGTGGTTTGCAGAGACCCCAGGCAGAGGTTGGTGGGTCCCAGGATCCTGCCTCGCGTGAGTTCCTCTAGGGCCAGCACAAAACAGTGATCCCCAGGCCTGGCGGGGCCTTGCAGGTCGCTGCACCGTGTGTGAGTGTCTGCCTGCCTTTGAGTCGTCAATCTTTGTATGGCTGTCATTCTGTCCATCTGTCTGTCCACGGGCCTGTGCTTGAAGCACTGTGCGTCAGCGCGGGGAGTTGCCCTGTTTGTCCACGTCAAAGGGAGGCGGGAGCTGCTGCCACTCTGTTTTTTTCCAGGATGCTTCAAGGAAGTTACCATTGTTTTTTTCTAAGCCGGGATCTCAACTCTGGGCTTCTCATTTGACTCCTCGATGCCCAGCTGTTCTGAGACTGTTGCTGGCTGGAGAATAGGACATACTTGGGCTCTGACCGGCCCTGAGCGCTAAGTTTCCATGGTTTTGGAAGGCTTGCTTCTGTTTACTGCTGTCAGAAAGAAAACAGAAGTCAGGATCAGGATAGAAAGATGTCCTCCCAGCAGCACACTGTATTAAGGAATATTTCTTGAAGAAAGAGATTAAATTAAAACATACTTTGAAGTAATTCACAGTGTGGCATTCCTGAAATAATGTGCCAGCACTTCATGGTTGTTTTCAACAAAGGTAGTGACAACAAAGGTAGAAACTGTAAGTCTAACTTTTACTGAGAACAGACTGACAAGCAGGGTGCTGTATACTATGCTAGCCAATGTCTACTTCATCCTCTCAAGAAATCAGGGAGGCAAGTTCTCTTGTCTTGCAATTGATCTCACTAAAGGCAGGGCCCTGTTACTACAAACTCAAGTTTATGTGACTTTTCAGTTCATTGATAACCCATGTTGGTGATCGGTGAGGAGATTGGTAGGAGCAGGAAAGTATATTATCATTAACACATATAAAGCTGGTGTGGCAACGGTAAACACTTGCAATCCCAGTGTTCATGAGGCTGAGGTGAGTGGACTGTCAGCCTATGCTACACAGTGAGTTTTAGGCCAGTGTGGTCCACACAGTGAGGTTCTGACTCTACCCCTGCCCTTCAGAAAAGTTTTATCTTTTCACTCAGCAATTTTATGTGTAGAATATTTCTCAAAGAAGTAAATCATGCAATTAAACTACTGTGTCAGGCTGAGAGGATGATTCAGTGGATAAGAGCGTTCCCATGCAAACCTGATAACCTAAATTCGGGCTCCCAGATCCCATGTTAAGGAGTGGAACATGGGAGTCTGTCATCCCTGTACAGTGAGATGGAAGACAGAGGCAGGGGAATCACCCATGTGCTTGAATGCCAGATGCAAAGCACAGCAGTGGAGACAGAGAATCCCTGCTTCGAGCAAGGTGGGAGGGAGAATAGAGTCCCCAGAGTTAGTTAGTATCTGACAGACTCACACACATGCTACAGCACAAGTGCTTCCACAGAGACATCATACACACAAATGTCTGCCAGATGACTTTCATTGCAGCATTTGTAAGAGTCAAGGTAGTTATTGTCCAAGTGTCTGATGAAAAGCCACGAGCTATGATGTCATTTAGTTGTTAAAAGTGAAACATGCTTATCATGTGTCATCTGTTAACTGGAAAAGCTCACTGGTTCCATCCTCCCAGCCCTCCTCTTTTTGCATTTTTGAGACAAGGTCTCACAGTGTAGCTCAGGGCACAGGATACATCATGAAAAAAGGACCATCCCCCCAACCTCCAACCAGTCAAACAACCCATCAGGGTGCTGCTTCCTTGGCCATTGTATTTAGTAAGCAGACACAGAAGGTGAGCAGCAGAGGAACCTCAGGTCATTATACGGCCTGTCCAGTGAAGGCTGCTATACAAGGAGGGGCAGTGTAATGTGAAGGGGGGGATGAGCTGAACCTTTACAGTGACTTGACTGACTTAGGTTTATTTGTATTTTTGAGACAGGGTCATACTAGGTAGTCCTGGCTGTCTTAGAACTCACAGACCTGCCTGCCTCTAGAGTGCCAGGATTCAAGGGTGGGCCCTGTGAGTTAGGTTTTAAAAGGGCTGTGGGGGAGGGGAGGGGAGTCTAGCTAAGCTGCTAGCGTGTTGGTCTAGTCTGCCTTAAGCTCTAGGTTTGATCCCCATCCCTGCATCAACTGGGCATGGTGGTACAGAGCTCAGGAGGTAGAGGGAGGAAGATCAGAAGTTCAGGGTCAACCTCTGCTACATAGTAAGTTTGAAGCCACCTGGTCTACATGAGACCTTGTTTAAAAGACCAGAAACACTACAAAAAAATGTGCTTATGGTGGTTTCCATGTGACAAATGCACTTTAGAACAAAAGTAGGAACTGGAGGGCATTCTGCAAGCTCAGGAAAGAGGCTGGCATGTTCTTCAGGCCAGCTTGGTGGCAGCGATGGAACCAGAGAGAGGTGGTTAGACCATGGATGATGTAGACCAGTGTGATTTCCAGACTGGGTGAAGGCAGGCAGGATGGCTACAGGGACCCGAATGTCTGAAGACTGAAGGTGCCTTGGGCTGAGGGCTTACGACAGTTTTATAACGTGTCCCGCCTTTGATGTTTCCCTTTTTAAACTCACTTCTGATGACAAGTTTTTGGCTGACAAGATGACTCTCCACTTGATTTAGACCATGTGAGGCCCTGTGCCTTTCTCTGTGCTCTCACATTTATGGTTATTCACTTGAAGTGAAGCCAGTTGCCGTGTTGGGTGGACACTTAGGCAGCCCAATGACAACGTTCACGGGGCATAGCCCAGAGATAGTGGCCATGGGGTGCAGATCAGAGGCCTCCTAACACAACCCAACCATAGAAGTGATCCCTGAAAGCCTAGACCTAAGAGGCGACTTATTCAGGTGGGTGAAGTCACATAGGTTTGGAGAGGAAGATGATTTGGTTTAGAGCTGTTCATGTGTAGAGCCACTGGAAGGTGAGGTCTAGGGTGGAAAGTCTGGAAGTTGTCAGCACAAATGTAGCCCTGAAGCTGTGGGGAAGGCAGGGAAGGAAGAAGAGGAGAGGAATGGAGGGAGGAAGAGAAAGAGAAGGAATGCAAAATACCCTGAACTGTTACTGAGGTAGATTCAGGATGGTGAGGTAGTTAATGTTTTAGAAAGCACTGTTACACTGTTACTTAGGCTGTTTGGGTTTGTACAGTGGCTGAGTGTTACGTAATGTAGAAGGCCGTTTAACATTGACCATCTGGGGAGAGCTCCACTGGAGACAGAGAAGGGCTTCTTATACTCAAAAGCCATTGGGGTTTCTAGCCTGTTTCTTACATTCTGTTTCCTCAACCACAGGAATAAAGTAGTCTGCTTTTATGATCATGGTTCATAGGTTTGGGTGGCAACATTGTGCTATTTTTCATAAAAGAAATGATGTCCACCATATTTTATTCCCATTGCCAATATGTAAGTGGTTTCTTATATTGCAGGAATATTAAGAGCAATATATAGCATTACTGAATATTTTTTAATATTTTCATAGGAAGGAAAGGATAGAGATAGGATAGAGATAGAGATAGGATAGAGAAAGGATAGGAAAGGATAGGGTCCATCTTCACCAGGTTAGCTGGTTCTCACTTTTGTATGTTTTTTACACTCCATTTCCACTTTACTTTTTAAAACATCACGGTATCGTGTGAGTACATGGTCACTCTCCTGACTCATCAGATGACTGCCCTTGCCTGCAATCACACTGTGAAGGCAGGGTTGTATTTTCTAGGGTGGGTATGGCGTAGTGAGCACAGTAAGTTACTTATTGCCGTATACTTAGCAGATTTTAAGAATTTATGTTCCAGCAAACATCTTAATTAGTAGCTTTCCAGAAGTAGAATTACTGGAAGAGAGTAGTGAGCACTGTAAGACTTTAGTATGTGTTACTAAATTTGTCAGTCTTTAGCTACTCCTGGAGCTGATTTCAGGGTAGACAATTGAGGCTGAAACAAAAGTTGAGGTGACAGAACAGAGCATTTGTATTCACCCTAATTTAAGCTTCATTAGTTGTGCATACATTGCATTATATATTAGGTGTATAATATTTAATTGACTGTTTTTGGTACATGTTAAACACTTGTAAATAGAAATAATTATACCTGAGTAGTTTGAAATCCACTGCTTAATAGTATTTTAGCAGGAATCATTAATTTTATCTGTTTTACCACAGCTTTTATAAGAATAGTCTAATTTATTGCTTGGCCAAAAATTACACAAAACCTTCAGCAAATAACAGACTATGTGTAAACTGCATATGCTCATGTAATTTTTAATTATTTTCTGTAGAGTATTCAAATGTTATTTCATGTATTCTTAATTCTGTTAAATCTTTTACCATGTTGGATCTTTAGATATCATTATCATCATGATTATTATTAGAAGATTAATTTACTAATTCATATAGTGTGCAAATGCAGCTCAGGGTACAACCTGTGGAGCCAGTTCTCTCCTTCTATCGTGCAGGTCCTAGGAATCAAATTCAGGTCTTCAAACTTGGTAGCAAGCATCCTTACCGACTGAGCTGTCCCTCTGGATTTCCTTAAGTGTGATTTCTGTATTAGTTTCTATTTCTGCTTCCTTTTAGTTGGTATAACATCCCATCTTTGCAAAATAAGTCTTATTTGGACACTTTGTAGCTCCAAAGTGATTAGTATCACTTAATTTCTTGTCAAATATTTGTACTTCAAAGTCTCAGGAAGTATAATTTGTAACATTGACTAGCGGGTAGAACTGCTGCTGGTGGCTCATGTGCTTGGAGGGGCTCCATGCTTCATGCCTGCTGTCTCATTTTATCCTCTAGTCCTCTGA